ACAAATAGTTTATTGTCAAGTTGGTTTCCATATAACACCCAGTGCTCATCCCCACAAGTGCCCCCCTCCATGCCCATCTACCCCCTTCCCCCCCCCACACCCATCAGTCCTCAGTTTGTTCTCAGTATTCAAGAGTCTTTCATGGTTTGTGTCTCTCCCTCTCCCCCACTATTTCCCCCCTTCTTCTCCCCCTTGGTCGTCCGTTAAGTTCCTCCTAATCCTCCTATATGTGCAAACATATGGTAGCTGTCCTTCTCTGCCTGACTTATTTCGCTCAGCATAACACCCTCGAGGTCCATCCATGTTGCTACACATGGCCAGATTTCATTGTTTCTCATTGCCATGTAGTATTCCATGGTATAGATAAACCACATCTTCTTGATCCATTCGTCCGTTGATGGACACTTAGGCTCTTTCCATGTTTTGGCTATTGTTGAGAGTGCTGCTATGAACATTGGGGTACATGTGCCCCTATGCATCAGCACTCCTGTATCCCTTGGGTAAATTCCTAGCAGTGCTACTGCTGGGTCATAGGGGAGTTCTATTGTTAATTTTTTGAGGAACCTCACACTGTTTTCCAGAGGGGCTGCACCAGTTTACATTCCCACCAACAGTGTGGGAGGGTGCCCAGAATGGTGCTTTTTCCACTGATAGCAACTTATCTTCATTTGCCTACACAGCTCCCATCATTTTCCTTTTCTCCTTTTAAATTTTTGCAGTTACAAATTCTCTTTTTATGTTGTGGGTTGGTTACCAAGTTATAGTAGCTATAGTTATTTTTAATAACTTTAACCATTATGCAGCTACCATGAAGGGATTAATACTCTATTCTAAAATAGAGATTCAGATGGAATGTGGTTGGCTCAGTCAGATAAGCTTATGACTTCGACTCAGGTAATTATCTCATGGTTCATGAGTTCAAGCTCTGTGTCAGGCTCTGTGTTGACAGCCTGGAGCCTGGAACCTGCTTCAAATTCTGTGTCTCCCTCTCTTTCCACCTCTCTCTCTCAAAAATAAACATTAAACAATTTAAATAAAGTTTTAGTTTCTGAGTCTGCCCATCAGCTTACTCAGAATTCTCTATACCTTCATCTTTTCATTTTAGTATAAAATTTCCTTTGAGGGTACCTGGGTGGCTGAGTTGATTATTATTATCTGACTCTTGGTTTCATCTCAGGTCATGATCTCCCGGTATGTGGAATCGAGCTCCATGTTGGGCTTATGCTGACAGTGCGGAGCCTGCTTGGGATTCTCTCTCTCCCTTTCTCTCTTCCTCTGCTTCTCTCTCTCTCTCTCTCCCAATCAATAAATAAACTTTAGAAAAAACTTGTTTCAACATTTCTTGTAAGGCAGGTCTAGCGCTAGAGAACTCCTTCAGCTTTTATTTGTCTAGGAAAGTCTGTATTTCTCCTTCACATCTCAAAGAGAGCTCTCTGGATACAGTATTCTGGACTGGCAATTTTTATTTTTCATGAATGACATACTATTAAAATGTTATTCCAGTCTCTCCTGATCTGCAGAGTTTCTGTTGAGAAATCTGCTGATTGTCTGTCTAATGGGGGCTCCTTTGTAGGTTACTTTCTTTTTTTCTGGCTGCCTTTAAGATTCTTACTTTATCACAGACTTTTGACAGTTTCATTATAATGTGTCCTGAAGATTAGCTTCACATAATTGTTTGCCCACTTCTTTCTCCAGCTTTGGGAAGTTCTCAACCAAAAACTTTTTGATAAGCATTCTGTCCCTTCTCCTTCTCTTCTCCTTCTGGTATATCCATTATTCTTATGTTGGCTCTCTAAATGGAGACTGGTGGCTCTTGAAGGGTTCTTCACTTTTTTTAAGCTGGTTTTTTTTTTAAAGTAATCTTTACACCCAACCTGGAGCTCGAACTCACAACCCAGAGACTCGGATGTTCTACCAACTAAGCCAGCCAGGCATCCAAGGATTTCTTCACTTAAAAAAAAAAAAAAAAATCTTAGTTCTCTCCACTTCCCCCTGATTCATTTCTAGATTTCATCTTGCAGATCCTGTATTCTCTCTTTTTATCTGACCTGCTCTATTTCCAAAGCTTACTAATGCATTCTTCATATAGTTTCCTGAGTTCTTCAGCTCCAGAATTCCTGTTTAGTTCTTTTTTTAGAATTCCAGTCTCTTTGGTTAGGTACTTTTTTCAATTCATTGATTTTGTTTCTGAGTTCACTGAACTGCCTGATTTTCTTGTATCATCTTGAATTTATTCATGAAAGCTATTGTGAATTCTCTATTATTCAGATAACAATCTTCTGTAACTTTAGGTTTGGTTTTTGGAGAATTGTCATTATCCTTAGTGAACTCATGTCACCATGATTTTTCATATTCTTTAATGACATTTTCCTCTGCCAGAGCATTTGAAGCAGCCAACATCTTTTGCATGTAGGTACAGATTTGTTAACTTTAATTCTAACAGTTCACAGGTGGGCAGTTTTAGGCCTTTCTTTTGTATTACAGCAGGTGGCAGAATAGCACAAGGTTTTGGATTCTCTTACCAGAGCTGACTTGGTAGCTGTTTAGACCAGGTCGAAGAAGAAAAAATGGGAGGCTGGCAACCAAGTAGGGGTAGTATGTACTAAGCCCTTGGGCTTTGGATGTGCCCCAAGGTCCAGTAAGGGGCATCCTCAAGTTCATGAGTCCCAGTGGTCCTGGGTGTTCCTTTTCTGAGCTCCCAGGTAGACAGTGCATGAAGTGTTTCTTCTTGTCTGTCTCCTTCCCTTGCGTTTCCTTCCCCCTACCACACTCCCACCCAGTCACAGATGTCTTGCCTCAGAGGACCCTATTCTGAGGAATAGCAGCTATGGGATCCTCTAACTGTAGCCCAGAGGTCCAAGTAGCCTTTCCATCCCCCAAGCATTGCCACCCCTGTAGAAGCCATGATATCAGGCCCCACCACTGCTGCCCTAGCTCTGGTCTCCATGGGGCCCAATCTATACACGGATGGGTCTCTTTGGCATCTGGCTATGCTGTGCAGAGGAACCTTTGTTGGATTTTAGATGTCCTACTAGTTGTAAATGGAAGGGAAGAGACAAATTGAAGGACTCATACTGCCATGATGCTGACCTCACTCCTCCCAATAGTGATGATTTTAGCATTCTTTCTGGAATTACAAGGACAGTTTGCCTACTTGATTCAAAAGAGTCCTCTTATTTGTGTGGATAATTCAGATCACATCCATACCTTCCACTTCTCTCCATTTCAAAGGAAATATGCCCATAGCCCACCGAAAATAAATCTAATGTCATAAACCAACAAGCTAGATGAATGAGGGAGATGAAGGTGTGAGATAATACTTAATATATACACAAAGATTCCAAAGAGTATATTTATAACTTTTATGGTTGGGGTAAACCATTTTAATAAATTTGAAAATTCCTCCACTAACCTTTCTCACATACGGGGAGCAGTGCAGCACCCTCATCCCAAGACATAATTCAATTTAGATGTTCCTGTCAGTCTGGCCAGGCAGGAGACAGAAACCACATCAGTTATATAAGGAATTACTCACTAGCAAAATGTATGTAACTATGAAAGAAGTAAAAGAAAGCTCTAAGGAAATAAGAAATAGGCGATACAGGAAGCAGACACTACTTCTAAGACTGAGGTAGAGCACCCGAAGAAGGAGGACATCTGGGACAGGAGAAGACTGACATTCTGTTTATAGGAGAAGGTGGGACTGGGGTTCCCAGGAAAGGAAAGAAGTTCCCCAACATGCCACAGGCCAAGCCTGCTGGTCAGGAAACCTCCCACTACAGAACTGGCAGGATTCCCTGGGAAGCGGTCCTCTAGAATACAGCCTGCTGCAATGCCATACTCGTTTACCCAAAGGTCAGAAAAGCTAGTGTTCCCATGGCCACTGGCGGTAGCACTGTAAGATTAAGAAAAAAAGCAACAGAACAAAAAGAAAACTTTTTCCCCTGCTATGTCTTGTAGTCTCCCATCTGGTGCACTGTACCGACAAAGGCTAACAGTGTGCAAGATGGCAAAAAAAGAAACTTTGATGAGATCCTGTTCCAGTACCAACAAGTAGGACAAATACAGGGTAGATTTGAATCCACAAGCCAATACATTGATAATGGCCAAGTCCACATCGTTAGTTACTCAGCTTCCATATACCCATTTTACCCACATTGGAACTTCTATATAACAACAAAACAACTACACATTTTCACCCATCTACAAAGCTGCACTTACAAGTGAAAACGTTTTCACTCTTTCCCCAAAATGGAACAGACAGGCAATCCTAGTCATCGAATCCAATACTAGTATATTCAAGTTCAGCCACAATCCCTTTGACTATTCTGGTACGTAGAGGTTATATTGTAAATACAATCACTGACAACTTGAATAAAATCACAAGGGTAAGAAGAGAGAAAGAAAACAGATTATGAATAAAATAACACATTTACATGACAAGAAAAGGAAAATATGCCAAGCTATTAAAGTCCTTTTTCTGTTATTGGTCACAGGCAGGAACTGGTATCTGTGACTTCCTTCTTCCACTTCCGGTTCTGAGTCTTCTCATGTCTCTCAGAACCACAGCAGGTCTGAGTTCTCTCCCCTTGGAGCGAACACACCTTCATTCTTGAAGGTCTGAGTCCTCAGTAGTCCAGCTTCCTTTTGTTTACTGTAGTTCCCTATCTATCTTTACCACTGGACTTGGTTTTCTTTCTTTTTTTTTTTTTAATTCAACATTTTAAAATTTATTTTTGAGAAACAAAGAGCAACAGAGCACAAGGGGGGGAGGAGCAGAGAGAAGGAGTCACAGAATCCAAAACAGGCTCCAGGCTCTGAGCTGTCACCACAGAGCCCAACACACGGCTTGAATACACAAACGGTGACATCATGACCTGAGCTGAGGTCACACACTTAACCTACTGAGCCACCCAGGCGCCCCATAAACTGACTGTTCTGATAACTATACCCCGGAGTCTGCATCCAGAGCAAGAGAGCAAGACACCAGGTCATCTAGGACTAATCTCAGAGGCTTTTGTCCCAAGGAATGTGAACCTCCAGGAAGAGTCACCGTAAGGAGTCTGGAACAGTGTTGAGGTCCTAAGGGGACATGGCCTCAGGGCTGTACGGGAGTAATGGAGAGTCGGCCCCTGGGGGAACACCATCAATAGCAGAGCCTGAGTTGAATCCCTCCCCTGAGAGTCTCACAGACTCCTCCAAAGAAGAAGGAGAATTGTTAAAAGGCACAGGGCTCTCTGCAGGCCCACCCACCACAGAGCAGATGGTCAGGGACACATCTCCTGACTTGACCATGAAGTATGGAAACAGAGTTCCAGAGGAGGAAGTGAAAGAGAAGGAGAAAAGGTGAGAGTTCTTCGTCATGTTATAGAAGGAGATAACCCCTTCTTTGATGTCTAAGAAAACCCCCACCCTGTGGGGAATTTCCTTACAGATTTCCTGATGGCAAGGGAGCATAAGGGCATATAATTTACCTTCATATTTCCCCACAGCCCAGAACCCCTTTTCTGGGCCCTCTCTGTACCAGCCCTTCCTCTCTGCATCTCCCCTACAGACCCCCAGACTCCAGTTGCATTTGTTTCCACTCCTGATCTCCACCTCCCAATAACAGCGCTCTGAAGTGATGGCCTCCTGGCCCATGATGCTACAGGGTTCTTCTTCGTCCTTACTTGTGTCCTTCAAGGTCACACTAGTCCCTCCACCAGAGACAGCAAGGTGGGGATGTGCAGACTCTGGATCCAGAACGACAGACACTGCAGAGAGAGTTGCCAATCATGCAAGACCTTCCCCTGCCCCATAGCAAGGGCACACAACCACCACCACCACCACCACCCAGACACCTAGTGCATGTGGGGAGAGCTAAGCCTCCTGAGATGAGAGTCTTGTGACTCAAGTACACAGCCCTCCAAGCAGGAGAAGTAAGCATAAGACTTATCTGAGAGTTATATATGTCACAGGGCACTTGAGGACCAGAATGGACTCAGGACTGAAGGATATATTTAGAATCCAATGTCAGTCACATCCACTAATCTCAGCTATGTGATTTTCATTGCCCCACCCCACCCCACCACCATGGATGGTATCAGCATCTGTATCACCACAGCAAGCTGAATGAGAAATCAGAAGCCATGGGGAAGCAGTAGGAGTACCCAGAAAGAACTTGAAGTAACTCACAGGCCTGGAACTTCTCTTTCTTCCAGTCTACAAGAAAACCACATTTCACAAATGTAACAACAAATCAGATTTGAGGAGATGTAGATATCAGTGTTGACATCTAGTCTTCTGAAATACACTGAGGTAAGAGTTAGGGGGAAACTATTCTGGAAACATTCCACTGGTGCCTAAACTTTTACACACACACACGCAGAGTCATCATGGTACAGCCTTCCCATAAAGGCTGTAAACCAAGCCATAAAACTTAAAACCACTGAGAGGCTGGATAACAACCTGAAAAGAAGGCTGTATACCCAGATTTCACTATCGTATTATGCTTTTTCAAGAATCCCTAGCCACACATCTATCCTGAAAGCTAGGTTTTCTTGAGAAGGCATTGGGGAAATCAAAAATAATGAGGCCTCCCATTTATTTCTAAAGAATTGAATGAACTGAACTTGAAGGTTAACTCTAAGTCATGGTAGAGACCATACAACTTGGCAGAGGTGAACTTGAAGACAACTATAAACCTTGGGTGAGGAGAACTCAGGATTCAGCATCAGAGAAATTTTTCCATCAGGAGGCAATGCAGAAGTTTCAAGGAAGGGAGAGACAGAAGTTCAAAGCAGGAAAGACATACATCCAGTGAGAGGACAGAAACTAATGAATTAGTTTTCCCTTCTTGGATTATTGGGAGGAAAAACATCCCCATATATAAGGGGAAGCCAAAAATATTGGGTCTACTTATCTGCTTCCCCCTTTAATTGCCCAGAGAGATCAAAAGCACCAGGAGACACCCCATGTGGTAGGTCCCCCAAAATGGTCATGTCTTAAGCCCCTTATTCAAAAATAATTGAAAAATTGTTTTCCAATTTTTGAATAAGATGATATCAGACACTAGTTTACCTCACACTATGAGCCTATCAAGATGCAAATATTAACTCTACTGTAATGGTTTCCATCCTTACAAAATAAAAGGGTATATAAGGTCTACGTTGAAACACATGCACTTCAATCCATCAGAGAAGGGGAGGATGCTAAAGAGAAGACTATTTGGGGGCGTCTGGGTGGCTCAATCAGTTAAGCGTCCGACTTCAGCTCAGGTCATGATCTCACAGTTTGTGAGTTCGAGCCCCACATCGGGCTCTGTGCTGACAGCCAGATTCTGTGTCTCCCTCTATCTCTGACCCTCCCCTGCTCACGCTGTCTCTCTCTCTCTCAGAAATAAATAAAAACATTTTAAAAGAAAAGAGAGAGAGAAGACAATTTGATCCTCATTTTTAACAAATAAATCCCAAGAATCAGTGAGCCTCTCTGAGGAGGTTTCCTCACACATCTGGTCCCCAGGTCTCCTGCACCCCTGCCTCTCCATTCTCTGCTCTCATAGTCCACGTCCCTGATCCTGAACAAAACAGACACACACACACACACACACACACACACATATGTTACACAGGTTTGAAGGGACTGGGTTCTTAACTCACATTGGTGCTAAATGGTGCTCTGGGTAAATTTTCATTGCTTTAAGATCCCCTGGACCACATCCTGCCCCAACTGCTACTGGAAGGTTGAGGTGGTCTCATGAAGAGAAGTAAACTCCATCAGAACACTACTTCAAAACTGCTCAAAATACTATAAGTCTTTTCAGAAATCTCTCAAAGAGGTCTCAGAGTTTGTTACCTTTAGTGCACCCAAAAACTTTGCACAACTTCTGTGTACTTCCCACTCAAACCACCATAGCTATGATTTGTGGTCTCTCTTCCACCACTCTGAGCTACCCAAAATCTCTCCAAGAGGACTCACTAGCTTTCTACTTCCTTCTCATCTCCTCCTCGCTTCCCCAACCAGGTTTCCTTCACTGATTTGTTCCCAACTTTTCTCTGGTAAACAAGTCTCACTCCTCTAAGTTTCTCCTATTGCAATCTTCACACACTGCCCCAAATAAGTCAAACCAGTATCGATGCCATCGAGTAAATCTGCAATTCTCTGAAAAGGAGAGATAATGGTTGTGAACAATTATAAGTTACTGTTCTTTAAAAAATAAGTTTAAGTTCTTGCCTCTATTACACAAACATATACATAGGACTTTGTATATTATTGCAGGTAGCTCACAAACCCACCACATGGAGTCCATAAATACCCTGAAATCCCCAGATCTCAGATTCAGAACAAATGATCCAAGGGAACTAATTCCACAGCAGACAGGGAAGTTTAGAGGAAGAAACCCACCTTGGACAAGGAGTCAGAGTGTGAGGAAGCAAATGAAAACCATCATTTCAGGGGACCAGAAGAAAAACTAAACATGAAAACCAAAAGTAGATCTGCAACATGTGGGAATTGGGGGATAAAATGGCTTCAGAACCAAGGATCTCCTCAGGAACACCTGAATCCTAAGCAAGCAAGTATGGTTTCTGAAATCTCCTAGAGATAGCAGTTTCTGGTCTATAAAGTCATTGCCGTGTTCCAATTGTCCTTATAAATGAGCACTCTGTTGTCACTGCACCATCAAAAGTGTCGGTTGAACAAGGTGTGTTCAAATGCTGTTGCTAACCCTAAAAATGACCTACAGTAGAGGACTGACAGGTCAGAATAGAGGCAGATTTGTGTTTCCAAGAACAGTCCCTGCAGTCTTTGGAAGGAGAAACAAACATGATAAGGAAAACAGGGACACCCACCCTGTCTTGGTATGGGGTCCACTGACAGAGAAGGGGGAAGAGTTGACACTGGAGAGCAAAAACCATAGAAAACTGAGTCGCTTACCTGCATATAACTGCACCTTCTTCCAGCCTGAAAAGGGACACATCCTGGTGAGGTATGAGCCAGAACAAGTCAGCTTCACAGTGATCTATTGGCCTTGCCTCCTCTCTGGGCTACAGGTGACACTCCCAACAGAGTAGGGAGGCTGGAGAGGAGATATCCTCCTGCCATGTTCCAACAACATGATCTTGTGGGAAATTCCCCAGATCACAGGTCAGAAAGCCTGCATTGCAGGCTGAGTTTCACCCCAGCCTGCTGCTGCTGTGCAACCTTTTGCCAAGCCATTTAGTATCTTGTGCCTTAAAAATTACCTCAAACATTTTTATTCGATCTCCTTTCAGTTTTGCTTGTATGAAAATGTTTTAGGGAATAGAACATAAATTATTCCATAATCGTAAACAGAATTCATTATTACAGTCCATGATTGCCAGCAAAGAGATATTTGGGAAATAATCCAAAAGAGGACATGAATTAAGGACAGGGATGTTAGGGTAGCTCTGGGGTTAAAGTGGCCAAACTTTCTCAGAAAACACATCGCTGTTCTGAAGCATTGACAGCTCACCCCACCACATTCCCACCCATGGTCAGACCAGTCCTCTACAAATCACTTCTGACCAGCACCGCCAGGAACTGGAGAGAAAACACTCTCTCTGGATGGTGTTATATGGAGGGGTCACACTCCTAAACTTAATGACCACACTTATTTACATAGCTTCTTTAACAAAATCTCAGAGCATCCAGTTTGAATGAGAACTAGTTGCTACCTAAAAAGGTAACAATATGGTGGGTAGATCAGCATTGAAATAAACCCAATTGCATGACAGACTCCAGTAACCACCATCATCCCAGGTTCCAAACCGCTGTGTGGGAAAGAAAAGCCCAAATAGGGAAAGACTGTGGTGAAGGGTACAGCCTCCCACCACCTCCCACTTCTGCCCCAGGAAAGGGTCCATATTTCTGTGCCTGAAACAAGGAGAGGGGACACTTTAGCTTAGGTAGGACAGGAGACCCAAAGATGTCTGGAGAGTCACTCACCAGCCAGGAAAACGGATTTCCTCCAATCTGAAAACAAGACAGGACACAGGTGAGCTAAGAACCAGAGTGTTACTATACAGGAGACTCAGAAACTTCTGGGAAAGAAGAGAACTTACCGAGATCTGCTTGGAGTTCATCTGAAAAAGAGTGAAAAATAAGTCTGAATGCCCATCCTTCACAAAGGAAAGACTGCACCTGGAGAACCCATAAAAGGACTTCTCTGTATCCTAGAAGATAGGATAACTCCAGACCCATGAAGCCTCCACAGTCCAACTGTCTTTTCTGGAGCTGCTCAGCCGCCTGCTCCTGGCCAAGCCCCTGCTGCCAGCGTGTCCTCTGCACCAGCTTCTGCACTTGCCTGCCTTCGCCCCTATGCTGCCTTACCTCTGGCCTTCAATGCCTCCTCCTTTGTCCGCCGGTCCTCCTCCTTTTCCCTGTGCAGTCTCTCCCATTCCTGTTGCGCCTGTCTCTTTGCAGTATGTTCTCTCTTGATGTAATAGGCAGCCCCAATGAGTGCGAGCATCAGCACCATCAGGCTCAGTATGAAAGCTGACTTCCAGGGAGAGGCCTGGGGGAAAAAAGGCTCTGTGCCCAGCCAGAGACCACATCAGGGACACAGTCCAGGACAGCCCAGCCCAGCACCCACAGGAAGCCCAGGCCACTGTCTCTGGCTCTGCTGAGAGTGGAAAGTAGTGCTGACCTGGGATGAATATGGCCATTGCCTTCTTCTGGTCCAGGACAGGGTTGAAGACCGAGCAGGTTATATTCCCTGAAGAGCTGTCCCTCACCACCAGAGCAGCCTCCACACTGAACAGTCCTTCAGCGTCTTCCGCATGTGTCTCAGAGAATGTCAGGAACTTTTCCCCATTAGCAGCACTCCACTGTACCTGGGGCTTTGGGAACCACCCGGAGGCCGTGCACACCACTCGGATCCCGTCCTCCTCTGGCCCTGTGATGTGCACTTGAGGGGTGGAGCCCACACCTGTGAGAGAGAAGCTGGAGAGCACAGGGAGGCCTTCCAGAACCCACGGATGCCAGCAGAGCCTTCCTCTGCGCATCTCCAGTGCAGCACTGCATTCTAGGGGCTCCCTGAGGAGTGGCCCCTGCAAGGATTAGAGCATGGGTCCTGCCACAGGGAACAGAAGGAAAGAGTATGGGGACCTGCAGAGGCCAGGGCTCTTCTCTCCAACCATGAAGGTGGGAAATCCATCACCCAGAGTAACACAAAAAGGAATTTGGTCCCAGGTTCTATCCTTCTCTGATCCTCTCACCTCACACATTCTCCAGGGCATCTTCCTGCATACCCATCACCATTTGGTAAATCATTTCCATCCTTGAAAACCCTACCTACCTCCTGAGCTCCATCCCTAATATCCACATCTCAGAAGGTTACCTCTTCCAGGATTCCTCACAGATGCTTCAAACTCTAATCCTGAACTGATTCATATTCAGCTCCATCTGTGATAGGCTGATAATGAAAATATTCCCAGTCCTTCAGCCTGTTGCACATCCAGCTCACCTTCTGCCACATACTTTTAGTGCAGTGCCTTCACACTCTGCTTCTGGATTCCATCATGTGACTTGACTGGGCCACTGAGAGTTCAGGGAATGTGACTCTAGCAGAGGCTGGAAAGTAATGTGCCATTGCCTTGACCTCTGACACAGGAGGGATGTGCTTGAGCTAGAGCAGTCCTTCCAGCTAAAGCTGTCCTAGGTTAGCTAACAGCCCACAGAAACCCACCCATGTGAGTAAACCCAACCAAGGTCTACTGTCAGGACAACATATTAGAAGTCAGAGGCTCTTGTCCCTGTTGAAAATAAGGAAGGAGCCCCTTCCCACCCTTTTTCTTACAGCATTTACTTGAGGAAGTTTTATAGTGAGGGCTTTCTTCCCTCTTTGAAATATATATAAGTCCTTTGTGAAAACTACATAGGCCTTTTGTCAGCTTTGTGATCCAGGAATGTATTCCACAAGAGCCTGGGAGCCCTCTCTCTGAACTGCTAACACCAAGGTAGACAGCACCCATCTCTCCCAGTTACTGGGGAAGTGTAGGAGTCTATCCTCAGTGGGAACAACGACCCAAGTGTAAAACCACCTTCTGTCATAAAGATGGGAGAATTTGTATAAATAAACTACTTTAACTTTTGTTTGTCTGGGAAACTCTTCATCTCTCCTTCTCTTCTGAATGACAGCCTTGCTGCAGGATTTTTCCTTTCAGTACTCTGAATATATCATGCCACTCCCTCCGGGCCTGCCAAGTTTCTGTTGAAACTTCCACTGAGTAATATGAAGAAGTGTTGAATCACTATATTACACACCTGGAATTAATATAAAACTATATTAACTACACTGGAATTTTTAAAAAATTTCTTTTCAATTTTTAAGATAGGAGAATTTGTTTTTCCTTGGGATAAAGCCACTAAGCTAACATAGATGGTCACCCTAATTACCAAGTACTTTTAGGGTACACTGCCTGTGACACATGATGCTCTCAAGTCCACTTACTTGAGAGCTAGTAACTGTTTACCCAGAAAACATGTATGTAATGAGTTGTGTCTGCATGGCTATGTAAAAAGGTGAGATTTCTGTCTTTTCTATCCTTTGGTAGATCTTACTGGTTAAAGCTAATGCAATAATAAAAATGTTTTCTTTCCCTAGTACCTTTGTGAAGAAGATTTCTGAATTTGGAGACTTTGTGTTTAGTTATATTTCCCCTACATTTAAGACATATGAGTAAGCATGATTAAGATTAGTCAAACACAGCTCAGATAAGCTGAACTCCCTTAATGCTCAAAAGTAAATAAATGGTTGTTACTATGCGCAACTGAGATTTCCATGTCTATGTTGCACAGCATTATGACAGCAATCAGCAACTAACACAAAATGTCAATACTTGTACTACTAAACAACAAATTGCAAAAACAAACAAACCCCCCCACCAAAAAAAAACAAAACAAAAAAAACCCTCAGGAGTCTCTGCAGTCCCTTTTCTCCAACCTCTAAACTCTTTGTGTCCCCAAATCTACCCACTCAGTTGGGTCTACTTTCCAAACCTCTCTGACACTGGAACTCCTTCTCTTCTCCCACCGCACTGCTCCTACATCAACTCAGGGAGCCATCCTGCCCACCCTGTAACTACATGTCTTTCTCCAGTCTTGCTCACCTTTCATATACCCTCTCTTACAGCTGGCAAAGCGAACCTCCTCCCACAAACACCTCCCTCCACTGCTCTGTTTAAAATTTCCTCAGCTCTTCCTCCAAACTCCATAACACACCACACAAAACCTTCTATGGTCTGGCATCGCCCTTAACCACAAAACCCTTCTCCACTTCCTCCCCAAGTACCCCTACCTGGGACACTCCAGCCCCAGGACTATTTGGTTAACTGTTTAACTGATCATAATCACAATCACCATGCTCTCTGTGCCCCTCGTGGAATCCATCAACCAGCAGGACTCTTTGGAACACTTTCTGGATTCACTCAAGTACCTGCTCAAGTGGGTACTCCTCATGAACTATTTATTCAAGATCAGTCTCTTCTCTCTGCCCAAGGACCAGGATCATTACTTCTCACACCCTCCCACTCACCTGTCACACCAACTACATGGCTTTCTTGTCTGCCCAGACACACCAGCCACACACCTACCTTGGTTGTTTCACATGAGTGTTCTTCTGCTTGGAACTCTCACCCCAGATACCCACTTGGCTGAGTTTCTACTCACCACCATCTAACATCCTCTATAACCCATCTGTCTACTGCCTTTAACATAAACTCTTCAGGACAGGAATCTCTATTTGGTTCACTAATGTATTCAGGTGCACAGAAGGGAACCTGGCACTTAGTAGGGATTCTATATATTCTTATTGAATAAATGAATAAGTGAAATTCCCTCCTTTCCCTCATCTCTAAAATGAAAGACTGATTCACTTGGACCCGGAGGTTCTTCCCACCTCCAGTACTCAGGACACTAAATATAGATCAACCACCCACCTGCCACTTTCAGCTCCAAATTGGCCTCTTCATAGAAACTTCCCTTTCTGAAGAAGCAGGTATACAGCCCGTTGTCAGAAGCCTGGACCTTCTGGATATGCACAATGGCCTCCCCCCTGCTGAGGAAGTCCTTCACCAGTGAAGTCCGCCCTGTGTACTGTACCAGCTGCCCCTCTTTCTGTTCCTGCTGGTTTTCATAGATGAACACCGCTTCTGAGAACTTGGAGCGGAACCACCGCAGCTCCATGTTCTCCACATCCATGGGTGGGGACACATGACAGGACAGCATGATGCTTCCACCCAGCACCGCCACAACAGGTTCCGAGGGGCCATTCACCACGAAATCCTCTGTGGACACAGACACAGGAGTGAGAAAATGGAGAAACACAGATGGGGAGGCAGGGAACACATACTGTCAGTTGGGGACCCAGGCAGGCAGGGGTGAGTGTCAGGTGGGAGGCTCTGTCCTGATAGACTGAGCTGTGACCACTCTGAATCAGGACAAGATCGTCTTACCACACCTTGGAAACCCAGAAATGATGTCAGAGACTCCCTGAGCAGCCTGTGTTCCTGGCTCCAGGCCCTCCCATGAAGGACTCTCTCAGGGGTTCTAACCTTCCACAGGCATCACAGTTACCAGGAAGGCTTGTGAAACACTGACAGCTGGGCTCCACTCCCAGCCCTTCTGTCTCAGTCTCAGTAGGTCTGGGGTGGATCCAACAATGAGCATTTCTAAGGGGTTCCCAAGGATACTGATACTGATGTTCCACAGACCACACTCTGAGAGCCACAGCTCCAGCTTAGCTCCTCTTAGGACTTAGGCCAGGACTGAAAGCCGACTGAAGTGTATTATTTCTGCCCATTTGTTTCTCCTCTGCTGAATTACATGTGTACTAAAAACTAGAGGCCACAGTTATTTCCATTAAAACATGCCCTCACTCCATCACACAAGCACCCAAATCGCCATCACCTTTCACAGGTCTTGGTCTTCTGAGACCTAATGGACATGTCACAACATGACATTTCTGCGGAAAGAACCCTGTTGGATCGCCAAAGAGTGACTTCTCACCTCCTGTGCTACTCAATTTTGGCTGAGTCACTATCTGTCTCACCTGAGGGCTGACAGTGACTAGTCTCCCTGGGACTATCCTCTTCCCAACCCCATTTGTGTGACCCTTTTAACCTGTACACAAAACCATGTCCCCTCGCTATCAAAGCCCTCCAATGTCTTTCTGGTTCCCAAAGTGACCTGCAAACCCAATAAAGATAACCCCTCTCTGACCCCCAACTCCGTTTCTCGCTCGCTCGCTCACTCTGTCCCAACCAAGACTTGCCTCCTCTGCTCCTTCAACACCCAGGCACACTGCCACCTTTGCTCTGGCTGCTCCCCACTGTGGAAACCCTCTTTCCATAGGGATCTAGTCAGGATGGTACCCCCACTTCCTCCATATCTTTGTTCCCATCTCACTTCCTGCACTGACCACCTTATGGAGTGCTGCCCCCTCCCACACACTCTCCTGCACCTCTGACTGCCCACCCTGCTCTACTTCCTTCTCTCATACTGTCCACTCCTGTAACAGACATAGATTGCATGGAATTGAGATATTTAGTACTCGCTGCCTGTCAGAATGTAAGCTCTGTGGAGAGAGGGACTCTCTCTGTTTTGTACATAGATCAGCATCTTACGCAAACTTCATACTCTGTAAGTATTTATAGAATGTAATGAATTAATAACCAAATAACTACTTAGATATCAATAGGGCCAGCAATCAAAAAATAAGGGGAAAGTTATTTTCAAACTTTTCATAGTGAAATTCACTTTTGTTTACTTTATAAGACATAAACTCCTCATTAGACGATTGTTTTGGTCCCCTTCCCTTATTTTATGGTTCTGGTACTTTTCTTATTTTGTTTATTTATTTATTTACTTACTTACTAACTTACTTACTTATTTATTTAAATTCAAGTTAGTTAACATACAGTGTCGCATTGGTTTCAAGAGTAGAACCCAGTGATTCATCACTTACATATAACACCCAGTGCACATCACAATAAGTGCCCTCCTTAATGCTCATCACCCATTTACCCCTCCTCCCACCCAACTCCCTCCAGCTACCTTCCATTTGTTCTGTCTGTAAGAGTCTATTATGGTTTGCCTCCCTCTTTGTTTTTATCTTATTTTTCCTTCCTTTCCTCTATTTTCATCTGTTTTGTTTCTTAAATTCCACAAAGGAGTAAAATCATATGGTATTTGTCTTTCTCTGACTGACTCATTTCGCTTAGCATAATACACTCTAGTCCTATCCACATTGTTGCAAATGGCAAGATTTCATTCTTTTTGATATCTGAGTAGTATTCCATTGCACATATATACCCTTCTTCTTTTCCATTCATCAGTCGACAGACATTTGTGCTCTTTCCATACTTTGGCTATTTTTTTTTTTAATTTTTAATGTTTTATTTATTTTTAGGAGAGAGAGAGACAGCGTGAGCAGGGGAGGGTCAGAGAGAGAGGGAGTCACAGACTCTGAAACAGGCTCCAGGCTCTGAGCTGGCAGTCAGCACAGGGCCCGACGCGGGGCTCGAACCCACGAACCGCAAGATCATGACCTGAGCGAAAGTCGAACGCTTAACCGACTAAGCCACCCAGGCGCCCCAATACTTTGGCTATTGTTGACAGTGTTGCTATAAACATTGGGGTGTGTGTGCCTCTTTTAATCAGCACTTTTGTGTCCTTTGGATAAATACCTAGTAGTGCAATTTCTCAGTCATAGGGTAGTTTTATTTTTAATGTTTGGAGGAACCTCCATATTGTCTTCCAGAGTGGCTGCACCAGGTTGCATTTGGTTCTGGGACTCTTCTTATTTTTTTTTTAAATTTTTTTAATGTTTTATTTATTTCTAGGAGAGAGGGAGACAGCGTGAGCAGGGGAGGGTCAGAGAGAGAGGGAGTCACAGACCGAAACAGGCTCCAGGCTCTGAGCTGGCAGTCAGCACAGAGCCTGACGCGGGGCCCGAACCCACGAACCGCGAGATCATGACCTAAGCGAAAGTTGGACGCTTAACCGACTAAGCCACCCAGGCGCCCCACTGGGACTCTTCTTAAATGGTTAATTATAACTAGTGATTAGAAGGAGGATCACCAGAACTTTTCTAGAGCCAAGGGCTCCACCAATAGCCATCTGTCCTGATGGAGACACAGCAGGGCTCCTGGGGGCTCTCACCCACCCAAGGAAGACACAGGAATGGGGATAGGGACACACTCACCTGCAGAACCCCTAGCAGGCAGCAGCAAGAGGAAAAGCACGGAGGTGATGTGGGAGAGTAGAGAGTCCCTGCAGCAATCCTCCATTTCCTCAGGGCCCGGGAGACACAGGGCAGGAGGTAGGCAAACACCTACAGAGAGGAGACAGAGCCAGCCCACATCTCTAGGCCTCAGAGCAGACAGCAGGTCTCAAGGCTGATAACATTCCTCAGCAAGTTCAGAGTCTTTGCTACTAGTCATTATGCTAATGGGGTTGGGGCCCCCACAACCCTGATACCAAGAAAGCCCAAGTCCCTTGGAAAGCTTTTACAGCCTGCTCTGCCCATAGGACCAGATCCCTCCTGCCTTATCACAGCGCCTCTTCCAACCCTGTATGAGTGACAGGCCACCAGAAATGCCCAGGCACAAAGGGTCCAGACTCAGGACCCTCCAGGTCCTGTGTGCTGTTGTTCTTCTGCTGCCCCCTAATTATGACCAGGGACTCACTAAGAAGCATGAGAGTCAGACTACATCCTCCTCAAGGACTTTGTGATTCCCACCACATGCATCCTGTCTTGAGGTCCTTTGCTTATTAAGCTCATCCAAATTTCAGCTCCCACCTCCCCCCAGCCTGTTGCTGCTCAGGACCAAGGACCCTAGCCCTGCTCCTAACAGAAGGCTGTGTCAATTCCCCATGAAAAGTTGATCCTCATCCTCTATATCTTTGAGGAGTTTCTGCCTCAAAAGAAAGGATCCCAGGAGAAGGCTGCCTGGGTAGCTCAGTTGGTTAAACATCTGACCCTTAATTATAGCTCAGGTCTTGAAGTCAAGTCATGAGTTCAAGCCCCATGTTGGCACTGGGTGGGAAGCTTACTTGAAGAAGAAGAAGAAAAAGAAGGAGGAGGAGGAGAAGGAGAAGGAGAAGGATCCCAGGAGAGAAAGAGCAGCAGAGAGGATAAAATGAGTCCTGGTCAGACAACAAAGGGCTTCAAACCACCTACTACAGGGTGGGTTGGGGGGGTAGGGAGAGGGCAACAAATAGTACTGAGAAGGACAGGTTCTGGAGGTGACTGCTGACTTCTTCAGATTCAGCAACTTTCTCCCTTTTTAAAAATTTTTTAATGTTTTATTTATTTCTGAGAGAGAGAGAGAGAGTGAGAGACAGAGAGCGAGACAGCATGAGCAGGGGAGAGTCAGAGAGAGAGGGAGATACAGAATCTGAAACAGGCTCCAGGCTCTGAGCTGGCTGTCAGCACAGAGCCCAATGCGAGGCTCGAACCCACGAACCATGAGATCAAGACCTGAGCTGAAGTCGGACGCTTAACCAACTGAGCCACCCAGGCGCCCCAGATTCAGCAACTTTCTAGGGAACCAACTTAGACTGGTTTCTTGACCTGTTCTGCCTCACTTTCCTCAATGCAAAATGGGGATAGTACAGGATCTCACCCCAAGATATAAGGATGTAGTGCTACACAAATGTCAATAAATGAATGAAGTGCAGGCATCACTGCATTTGTCCTGGGTCTTCTTAGAGCCTCATTATTATCCAGCACCACCACCCTCACCACAATCTCAGCCACTTCCTCACAGCCAGCTGCTCCCAACTTTCCTTTTATTGGCCAAAAGCATCTTCAGAACCAACTTACCTTCTTAAAAAGCTGAGACTTCTGGATGTCTCTAACTCAGTAGTGTGAGATCTCAGCAGACCCAAATCTGCTCTCAGAGATTGCACCTACAGTTAGCTGCTCTGAGCCCCAAACCCTGCTTCCAGATCCAATGCTGAGATCCAATCCAATGCTGAGATCCAGATCCAATCCAACCACCTGAGAGGCAGGTGGTTCCCCGGTGAGTGGAGAAGCCTGAGGTTGCAGGCTGCAGGGGTCTGAGCCCAAACAGGGTCCTGGGCACTCCCAGACAGGAGAATCTACTCTTCTCTGACTCCTCCACCAGTTGAAAATGAAATCTTACAACAGGCAATCCAGCGGACTCTGCCCTGACCTCTGGATGGTGCACCCCAGTTATCAGGAAGGAAACAACGTGATCAGAGCCACAGAAACAGGGCACATACAGGTACACTGACCCACCCTGCAGGGGGTCACACAGAAGTGCAGACTCAGCTATAGTTTGGTGAACAACTGCTACTCTCCAGGTTGGCTAACTCTAGACCAGAAGCAGGGAGTGTGTGTGGCACAGCCAAGACTAATACCTAACCCTGTGCATGGGTCTTTCTGTACTGACTGTTCACTACTGAGAATATTCATGACAGTTGGTGAATACTATTGGGCAAGAGCCTTTGAAAAGCCCCCAGTGTAGCTATTTTGCTTTCCTTCACCCAGAGACCACACAGGTGAGGCAAGAGAGAGGTTAATCCTGGGCATCAGGAGCTTCCAGGACCAGTTCCCGGACTCTGGCCCTGTCCAAGCTGAATGGACAGCACCTGTGGGTTGTTAGTATTTTACTGTCATATATGGCATGGGTAGAGCATTCTGCCCGCTCCCTGCCAGGCCACAGTGTGCTCTGGGAAAGATGGATGTTATGGTCCCTGAAGGAAAGCCCTGGAGCACTGGGGCTTCCTCTCCTAGTTCCTGGACACTCCCATTTCTCCTCTGGCCCAAGTAGGGTGTCCCTGCTTCCCCATGAGTGTCCCCTGCCCACCTCCAGCCTGACCTCCTCAAGTTCATTTTCCTTCCAAGGTCATGAATCTCTCAAGTCAGATCTGCCTCATCTGTCCAAGGGACCCCCTCTTATGTGTGATTTCCAGGCCTCAGCTTCCTCTGTGACCTCTTCCCATCACTCTCCCAGTTGTTCCCTCACTGGCGTGAGTGAGTTCCTCCAGTTCACGGAGCTCCCCCAGCCTCTGGCCTTCTCACAAGTCATTGTATGGTCTTGCTCTCTCACTCTCTCTCTCTCATTCTCTCCCCACCCCATCCCCCAAACTCCTTAACATTTCAATCTTGCATAAAGTGACCTTCCTCAAAGAAACCCTCACCAACCTGATTATCCCCATATATGCCCCATACCCCTGCTTGGAGTTTTACTGACACCCTGTTCTCTACAACAGCTCTGACATTAGTTCTTCTGTGGAATTTCTGTGGCGTTCACAAAGGGAGTCAATGTGAGCCCTGCTCACGCAACCATCACATAGTGAACATTCAGTAAACTTTGCCTGAGCTCATTTGCAGAGGACTCACTCCAGCAGCCTATCAGCTACTCAGCCTTGTCCAAACTGGAAAAACATTTCAATCCACTGAGAAACACAAAGACTGTTAACTCTGACCTAAATAAGTCAGCCTCTTCGTGGATCCAACAACTCCAACATCTTTGTGCACTTTTTTGCTTTCTGCCCCAAACATAAATGCTTCACTGAAACACCTGCAGGCTAGAAACTCAGATGCAACCACCTTTGCTTGCTGCTTCAAGCCTGCCCAGTAGTAGGTGTTCAAGTGTAAGTGACTGGTGTTAAGATACTAGCTTGGGCTACAGCTTCCCTGGCCACATTTCTGCCAGGTTGTTGTCATTGGTCATCATTCTGCAGGAGAGGAAACCAAATCTCTCAGAGTTTCACAACCACACACCCAGCAAAGCCTCTCCCAGCCTGTGTTCACTCTAGATTGTCCTGAATAATCCATTGGATTTGTTTTCATGAAACAAGGCCTGACTGGCCCATGATGCATGGGCTTGATAGGTTTCTGCCTGGATGTCTGGTCTAAAATATTAAAACTCTGTGCAAACCCAAGACATCTGGATATGTCTGAACACATCCCAGGTTGTCATCCACAAAAGTCTATTCTGCCAATATCTATTCAGACTTGGGAATATTGGGAAAATCTATCTTAACTGAAAAATAACAAATGAGGGGTGGCTAGGTGGTTCAGTCCATTAAGCGTTTGACTCTTGATTTCAACTCAGGTCATAATCTCACAGTTTGTGGGATCAAGTCCCTTGTCGGGCTCTGTGCTGAGTGTGGAGCCTGTTTGGGATTCTTTCTGTCTCTCTCTCCTTGTCCCTGGCCCACTCACATGGGTGTGCACACTCACTCTCTCTCTCAAAGATCAATAAATAAAGCTTTTTAAAAAGTCAATAGTTTTGTTTTAAAGAAAGAAAGAAAAAACAACAAATGAGATAAGGACTACTATTACCTTCCAGGACCACCCCCACCCCACTGCCACCACCAATCACTGCCCAATGGGGAGACTCCTCAAGTTAAGAGACATTAGGGGAATTTGGTGAAAAGACCTGAGGGAAGAAAAACAAATTTTATTGAGTTCCTACTAAATACCAGGAACTGGGCTACACAAGTTGTATTTATGACACTTCACTTTCACACATGCACACAGAGATGAAGGATGACGTGAGCCATCTATTAAACTTTAATCCAGGAACTTCCTAGAAGAGGGAAGGCTGGACCTGCAAGGTGCACCCCTCCTCACCACCCCACATGACCCAGTCTTCAAGCCCAGCCCAGTCCCCAGCTCCACACAGCTCAGGGTGAAATAGAAGCAGGAAGAGGACCTTGAACTCATTAATGGACCAGGATGATATGGCCAGAAAGCTTATCTCCCCTGAATGCCAATCCATGGATCCCAGGATGGGAGGAAGGGGAGGGGAAGGAATGACAAAACACAGGAAAGACGTTCCTGAAGGACACCACACAGGAAACTTCACCACCCTCCCAGGCTCATCAGGCTCGTGTTCCCGCTGTTTGTCCACAAATACTGTTCACTGGCCATGAATGATTTTTCTTGCTCAATATAAATTATCCTGATGCTAGAGGGGTTAATATTAAACTTTCTAGTTTAACAGCCATGTAATACCTCTTATCTTCAGATGTTTCGAGTGCTTTTGAAACACTTTTCAAATAAATATGTAAGCCATAAATCAATGGCTAATATAAAAAGAATTGTAATTTTAAGATGTGACATTTGGTGGAAAGGATTAAACCTCATTTTTAAAAACCTGCAATCTGGTGAATCTTAATTTATTTTGACGATGTTAAGGTGAAGGTTCACTGGGTTATCGTCCACTGCAGGAAAAAAGTTTATAGAAGTATTTCCTGCTTGTTTGGTATCTGGAAAGACTGAAAAATAACAGGAAACACACACACATAC